TCGAGCTCGTCGAGTTCCTTCTTTTTTAGCTCGAGCTCGTGTTTATTTTGTTGAGCTCCAGCTCAAGCTCATATTGTTGTTTTTCTTCTTCTTTTGTAAATATTTTTTAATTATTATTAAATTATTTAAAAAAATTACAAAATAAACAATAAGTTGTAACTATACATATTTTTTAATATTTTTATTTTATTTTTATTTATTTCTATAATATTTTATATTATTATATATTATTTAAATAAAAAATAATAAAAAAATATATAAATGGTGAATAAGGCTCGCGAGTCGGCTCGTGAGCTCACGAACAACTAAAAACTGGCTCGAGTTCGAGCTTTTTTCGAGCTGGCTCATAGCTCACGAATCGGTTCAGCTCGTTTACCACCCCTAGTTTCATCTCTGCAAGTCTTGTAAAGAAATTTAAAAGGGGGAAGAGATATAGTAACATCGGCAACATTTATTTAAAGAAACTGATTATAGTTAAATTGGTGATATCCATTCTTGATTTTTTTTTGGCTTTTTTTACATTTAACTAACTTTTAATAGATTTATTGTTTATTCACCTTAGTTGACTTATAAAATTAATCTTTTGGCACGATTTAGGCAATGTTTGGAAGCGTTTTGGATCTTATTTTGATTTCATTTTGAGGAAATATGTTTTGGGGAAATAATTTGAGAATGAAAGTAATGTTTGTTTGTATTTTGAAAGGAGACAAAATACACTGTAGCAGTCAAATCATGTTTAAAGGTGTTAGAAAAAAAGTATTTTTGAAGAAAAAAATTGAAAGATGAAGTGATGTTTATTTGTTTTTTAGTGAAGGCATTTTTTACTGTAGCAGTCAAATCATTTTACTGTAGCAGTCACAACATGTCTGAAGGAGAGAGAAACTTTTGAAATTATTTTGAGAAAATGATTTGAAAAGTGTAATAAATCTCATTTTGTTTTGGGGAAACAATGAAAACAAAACAAAAATGCATCCAAACATATTAGTATTTTTTATCGTATCTTTTGCATCTGATCTACAATCAAGAACATGATTCAGGATAATTTAAAAATCCAACTCGACGAACTAAAACTTTCATCTTTCACATTTTCTAACATTCAAGTGGAATCATTGTCATAATCGAGCTCGAAGTCGGATCAAAGGCTCAACTTCAAATGGTATCATTATCGAAATCAAGCTTGAAGTCGAATTAAGTGCACAGTTAACCTAGCTACTAATGACCTATTGGCTGATTTTAATCATATTGTCCAGATCCGATCTCCGATCAAGATGATTGAATATGATCTAGAAAGTTAACCCAAAGAATTAAAATAATATTTCTATTTTACATTATCTCAAATTAAAATAGAAACGTTGCCAAAATCGAGCTTTAAATTGTACCAATTGCATAGTCAACCTACTCACTCGAATTTTATATATATATATATTTTTTTAATTAGAATTTTAAACATTATGAAATTTCTACCCTAAAAATAAAATAAAATAAACCATGAAAAAGGGTAGTCCACATTCTAATTATTTATTTTCACAAATTGCAATAGAAGGGCCTTCACTATCAAATTATCAATCAAGGCCCCACATTTGTCTCATATTCCCACTGCTCAATGTCCCTTATAACATGGAGAGAAAATTATGGCTACCCAATCCCCCCCCTACTATATTAACTTCCCTCCTTCTTTCTTCTTCAAGAATCTAGAGAGAGAGAGTCTAGAGAGAGAGAGTATCTAGAGAGAGAGAGAGATGGAGAACGAAGTGGTGAAGTGCGAGTGCTGTGGTTTGAAGGAAGAGTGCACGGAGGAGTACATAAACGAAGTGAAGTCGAAATTCGAGGGCAAATGGCTATGCGGGCTTTGCTCGGAAGCCGTGAGAGATGAAATAACGAAGAGAGCCGGAAAAGTAGCGACGACGACGACGTTGTTATTGGTGGACGAAGCCGTGAAAGCGCACATGTCGTTTTGCCGGAAGTACAAGTCGAACCCGGCGACGCGAGTCGCCGATGGAATGATGCAGATGCTCAGAAGAAGATCGGCGGCCGATAGTTCTTCGTCGCCGTCGTCGTCGAAGAAGTACTCTAGATCAGCTAGTACTTCTCAAGTGGGAGATAACTCTAGATTCTCTTATTAATTATATAAGTTTATTATTTGTTGAGTAATTAAATTAATTATCTAGTAATTTAATTAGCTATAGCTACCATTAAATCTTTGGTTTTGGTTGGAATAATTAAGACATATTTATAAATTAATCAGCCTTAATTATTTTAATTTCTTGTTTTGTACAGAGACGGTTAGTTCTACATGTCTGGTTTTTTTCTACTTTTGTCTCAATTTATATATCTAAAATCCTTTTATATATATATATTGTCAATTTTATATATAGCTTAGTTCCATAACCCTAATTACTGCATTAAAGCAAAATTTTATTGAATTAATAACCATTACAGTACAACGACGAGATTTACTCAGTGCACTTCGAATAATTTTATTGTCATTTAAAATTAAAGGAGGATTAATTATCAAACCTAATAAAATATTATATTAATTACTTAAGTAGTAGTAGTATTTTTCTTAATTACATTAATATAAAATGTGTCAACTAACTCACACAACTTGTCTGAATGATTTCACCAATATCCATTTAATTTCCAAGAAAGAGAATCAAAGCTATCTGGTATATGTGAATTATTTTTTATTTAAAAAATAATTTAATTTGCCACTTGGCTTAATGTAGCTAGTTAGTGAGCCATAATCAGGGTTATTAATTTAATTAATTACTCCAAAAGCAGGTGTATCTGCTCCACAAAGCACATCATTATATTACTTATAATATAAGTTTACTTGAAACAAGAGTTAATTAAGAATATTATTTTAGTTAATTATAAATATTTATGCATATATATATATATATATATATATATATATATATATATATATATATATATATATATATATATATATATATATATATGTATATATATATATATATATATATATATATATATATATATATATATATATATATATATATATATATACACACAAAATTCTGCAAAGTACTTATGTATATATATATGCGGCAACTCGGGTCAGAAATCTGACAGAGAATAGTTCAACTCTTGACCCATATATGTAATTTACTATTTACCATAAGGTCACAATCTATTTCAAAATGGGAGAAGAAATTTATAACCAAACCAAATAATCCATACATATCATATCTAGTCAAGGCTGCGTTTGGCTGCCAAAATTACACTCGAGTAACTTATAAGTTCTGATGGTGTAAAAACTACACCCTCAAGACCTCATTCCCAACCTGTCTCCACTGACAGTCAGGATCACCTAACGTCGGAGCTATGACCGGCAAAGATATATAATCTAACGATCAAGAATCCCACGACTTGATATACCTTGATTGATTTACTTTCCTAATCTATCTATGGAATGAAAATCCCGCATCTTGCTCCTCCAACGACTCTTCGCCAGCTGCCCACCTACCACACCTTAATTTCCTCTGAAACTTCATTTCCCTGGTGTCCTTCAACATTTCTAGCGAACTCTTCTTTTTGCGTCTTTTCTGGTAGCGATCTCTTCTATTTTCAAGTGACGAGCTCTTTGTAGTCTATAAACTTTAGCTAATGAGCATTCGACACCTTAAATCCATTTAATTCTCACGACCCACTTTCTTTCGTCTTGAAGGGCCAACTTTGTGAGAAGTTAGGCCCAAACTTGCCGAACTGACCCTATCAAGTCCTATATCCAAACACCTTAAAATTTAATCTTTAAAATAAATAAATAAGTATCAATATAAATTTTCTTATTAATTAATAAATAAAAGCTCAGGAAAATTTTTGGGCAGTGAAATAAATAAATAAATAAAGTTAGTTGGGGTATATCAGTCATTTCATTCTTGTCTCCTACATCCCTCCCTACTCTCACGGGCTACCTTAATTAAAACCCTAGAAGACCGTTGGATATTCAAATTTTTAAAACAAATCCCCAAATTTCAATTTCTCGTGTTCAATTCACCAATCAAATTCCCCAAGAAAATCAATTTGCGAAACCCCCACACACAAATTTCAAATCCAAGAGACAGAATTAAAAAAAAAAAATGGTTCAAAGAAGATCCAAAACCCCCGAAGACGCCGCCGCCACGACGAAATCAGTGATTCTCACTCCAAACTCCTCCGCAAAATCGACGGCGACAACGGCGGAGAGCAACCAGTCGGAAACACGAGACAGTTTCTACTTCCCCGGGTGCAGAAAAGACGCGAATTGCAGCTGCGAGATATGCATCGCGAGCATGAACGCAACTCTCGATTTGATGCCGCAGAGCTCCCTCACCAAATTCTCCGCCGCCAGGCCCGGAGTTCGAAGAAGCCCCATCGCTTTTCCTTCGCCGGCCGATCTCTCGACACCGCCGAAGAAATCGAGGTATCAGATCCGGCGCGTGGATTCGTCCTCGCCGCCTCTGGATTCAACCGCGAGTGCGGTTTTGCAGGAGAAGTTGGAAAGGGGGAAGAAGGGAGAGAAGGAATCGGGTTTAGGGTTTTTCGCGGTGAGGTTTCTCTTCGGCTTGATTTTGATTTTCTGCGTCGAATGTGGTCTGTCTTGGGTGGTTTCTGGTGTTGTCAAGGCTAAATTGTCGCCGGATTTAGTGACGGAGTTGGGTGGAAATTCGTCGGAAATCGAGGGGCTGAAAGGTAAATTCACGTTCTTGAAGAACGAATTAGAAGTGCTAGTCGGCAAAGAGGTCTCGAATTGCACCTCTGTCGATTCCGTGTGGAAAATTACCCAGGTTATTATTCAGTTTAAATTACATGTGAATGATGTTAATTAATATTAAATAATTAGTTTTTAGCATTATCTTGATTTTAATTTTAATTTTAATTCAGGACGGTTTATTGCTAAATTCGAAATGCGTGTTGTACAAATCAACGGCCGAGGAAGTGAGCATTTGGGGCTGGCCATTGCAGACCGTGGGATTGCTCACAGCAGAATATTCCCCTCGATCGTTCACCGTTTTATCGGGGAAAGTTACAGAGGTAAAACCTCAATTGAAAAAAAATGACCCTTTTAACCTTTTTACATGTAGTTAATTAATAAAAAAAAATTTGGTTCTTGCAGTGGTTGTCGGAGGAAGCGAATTATTCGATTCGAGCAGGGAATAGTTCGTGGGTACTAGGAAAATGGAGTTCATCGGTGGTGCAGTTGGATCCGAATACGTGGATATTGGAATACAGACAGGGGTTTCTCATGAACGACGATACTAAACTGGTTTCGACTGTAATGGAATGCTTCAAGTTCGGGATGGTAAGAGGGTTTCAAATGTTGAAGAAAGAATTTTGGCTGCCGTCTTCTCGAAGTCGAGATTTTGATTTTGCACGTGGGAAAATTCTAATCCCTACTTGAGGAAAAAAGAAAGGGAAGAAAATCAATTCTCATTCCTCGTGAGAAATTAGGTTTTGTGCTTTGTGTTATTGTTTTTATTTGTTTTTGTCATTAAATTGTATAAAAGAGATGGAAATGGTGTACTCCTTTTGTAGCTAATGGAAATTAGTTTTATTTTTTCATGATCAATTTGGGCCTATATAGCATGAACACGAAAACGGGGATTCCAGCAAATGAGAAACGGTATGTCCCAAAAACGTAGATACGGGAATTTTGAGGAAAACGTATAAATATTAAAAGTATAGGGGCATATATGTAAATATGCTATACAAATGTATATAAGTTTTCATTTATATATAAATTCTTTTTATGTATATTTTTATACAAACATATTCAAAATAAATTTTATTCTCAACTATCAAATTTGCAATTGATCATTAAATCACGTAAATAATTAGAGAAGCAACAAAAATATTTACAAATTTATGATTCAAGCATGTTTCTAACTTTTTAAAAATTGCAAAATAGTTCATAAGGTCTATTACAGCTGTCCTCGGGTATCGAACACGAAACATGTCTGAAACGCGAAAACATTAAGAATTTGAAGTTTACGTGGTACAACCAACCCTCATTAGGAGAGTTGGTACCTAGCCTTACCAGTAGGGTAAAAGGTCTAGGGTTCGAGTCCCCCTCCCCTACTTCCCCTTGTAATGACTTGAATTACTCAAAAAAAAAAAAAGTTTACGTGGTACATAAATTTGGGTCAAACATAACAAGAATACTTAATTAATTACATTTAGGTAATTATTATGAATATACTTTATTTAGAAGGTGAAAAATAAAGAAGCAACTTTGACTCGTGAAGAAAAGTCATGATTAGTAATTTGACTCTCAACTAATAAAGGATGATAAATTAGTTAAGGGGAAATATGCAATACCCCCCTCAAATGGAAAATATTATGAGTAAAACCCAATTGACTTTTAAGACTTTTGCACAAACCCACATCCCAAACTTAATTAGTGAAACCCCCTTAATTAAACATAATAAGACATAAGTACCCTTATTAATAGTTTTTTATAATAAATCAAATATTCAATTACGATATCTTTCCATAACCGTTTCCCTTTATTATAGGCGGACGTGATTCTCTTTGATACACAGACGTGAGTTCAGCCGAGATTAGGAGAGAATAGAGATTTCATCGCCATTCAACCATTCTTTGTTCGTTGCCGGAGTTAAACTGCGTTTGAAGGTTAGAGATTCTTCTTTATTTTTGTTGGTTTTCGTTAATGGGAAACTGCGTTTGAAGGTTAGAGGTGCTGCTTTATTTTTGTTGGTTTCGTAAAGGGGGCTGGGCTGTAGTGTGTGTATTCAGATATGTGTGTACGTAGAACCGAATTTTATTGTTTATTTTTGGGTCGTCTTAATTGGTGTAAAGGATTGTTACTGATTCAAAATTTTATTCCGTTTTACACAGAGTCACGTTGTGACTACTCTGTAAATTAGTTGTTCGTTTTGTGGTAATTGATATGCTAGTGTAATTTATTGTAATTTGTTTTTTGCGTTACTTGATATGTTAGTGTAAGTTTCAATGTGTTTGTTGTTGTAGAATTGAATTCGGATAATATTATGTGATTTGCAATTACAGAGTAGTGCAGATTTACTCATCAGAAGTAGTCACATAGTAGTCACATTCTGAAATTTTTTTGGTGTAGTGCTGCACAACATGTCGTCAACCTTGATGATTGTGTTGAAGTATGGAGGTTCGTTTGGGGTGAAGATATGTCAGGGTGATTTTGTGTATGAAGACCTCGTTGGCTTTGTCACCGATAAGTGGTGCAGTTTGAATGCGAGGGATGTATCGATGACTTACAACGTTGATGGATATGGCGAGGGTATGCTTGGCGATAATGCTTGTAATTTGTTTTTTGCGTTACTTGATATGTTAGTGTAAGTTTCAATGTGTTTGTTGTGGTTGAATTGAATTCACATAATATCATGTGTTTTGCATTTACAGAGTAGTGCATATTTATTCATCAGAAGTAGTCACATAGTAGTCACATTCTGAATTTTTTTTTGTGTAGTGCTGCACAGCATGTCGTCAACCTTGATGATTGTGTTAAAGTATGGAGGCTCATTTTGGGTGAAGATATGTCAGGGTGATTTTGTGTATGAAGACCTCGTTGGCTTTTGTCACCGATAAGTGGTGCAGTTTGAATGCGAGGGATGTATCGATGACTGACAACGTTGATGGATATGGTAAGGGTATATTCTCACTTACTGACTTACTGAATATGACTCACATAATAGTCATATTCTCATTGTTCTGTTAATAATTATGACTATTGTTGATTCATCAATTAGTGATTTATGAATTTCTTGTTTGTTCCCCACTCTCTCTTTCGATTTTTTTTTCCAGATCTGAACAGCAGCAGTAACATGACTATAGTCATATTCAAATATGACTATAGTCTTATTTATGTATTTTCCGAATATGAATATGACTATTGTTGAATATAATCTATATTGTCGTTTTCAAGTAGACTTCTAGTAAGTAGATTCAAATTGATTTTTTGTGTGGATACTGATTGGATTGTTTTCGTAAACAATAGGGAATATTCGTTGTTTTATATGATTTGGTAAACATGACTATGCCATATAATCGGAATTTTTAATTTCAAAATAAAAAAAAAACAATGTAAAGAAAGAATATGACTACAGTTAATATAGTCACATATAGTCATATTCAGTTATAGTCATATTCGGGTTGCAAACTTGTGGAGAGAAAAATTTCAATTTTTTTTTTAAAAAAATAAAAAAACATTTAAAAAATTATTTTTATTAAAAAATATTATAAATAAAAATAAATATAAATGGCTAAATAAAGTCCGAAAATAATATAAAAATAAAAAATAAAAAAAATAAAATCCGAAAATATATATTTTTTTTGATTTGGTAGCATTTTTTTAGGAATTTGAAAGCACATTTTTAGGAATTAAATTATTATTATGGAAAGAGAGAAAAAATAAATAATTGAGATAAATTATACTAATTATTCCTAATTGGTGGGATTTAGGTGCCTCATTAATAGGAATTTTGTAAATAGTAGATAATTATAATAAAAAACGTGCAGGATTTAGTTTCCTTATTAATAGGAATTTTGTTAATATTAGATAATTATTAAAAAAAAGTAGTATAAGGGTAAAATTGGAATTAAATATTATAAGGGGTTTTCACAAAGAAAGAATTATGGCATGGACATATCACTATTTTTTATCTATAGGAGGGGTGTATTGCTAATGACCCCATTAGTTAAATACCAATTACATCTCTATTTTCTCTCGTGTTGGTCAACGCCTCCGTCAACTTTCATCTGCATGTGTTATGCATAAAAAGCGGGAAATTCTATGCTAGACCTGGTGAATATAACCAGGCACCCTAATTAATAAGATTCCCACTACGAGTTCAGTTATGGCCCAATGAGTTTTAGAAATATAATTATAAAATAAATAAAAAAGGACACATGTCAAGAAAAGAGCCACCCGGTGAAAATCACCAGGTGTAGCATCGTATTCCCCCATAAAAAGCCATTCATTGATATTTTTTTCACATATGTAAATATTTATTACATATTTTTTTGTTTCTTTTCTTTCTTTTTCTCCTTCGCATTTCTAATCTTTTCTTCAAGAACTGTATGTATATGTGTATGTATATGTATATGTGTATGTATATGTATATGTATATGTATATGTATATGTATATATAATACGTAACCTACGATTAATATTTAATACGAACAATCGAAACATCGTTCTTGTACGTCCATCAATATTAAGGTTAATTTCCGACAATCTATATACATATTTTATTTTTCTTTTTGTTAATATTCGTATATTTTTTATAACCCTCGAATGGCATCGAACAAGAGGAACGTCAACAACGAATCGTCACGAACAGAAAGAAATTACGCCCACAAAAAGCTGAGGAAACTGCCTCACGTTTTCAGCAAAGTCTTGGAATTGCCCTTCGGCTCCGATGCTGACGTGGCGGTGGAGGAGGGGCCCGAGTTCTTCCGGTTCTCCGCGGAGATCGAGGTGGATGCTGATGATGATGATGATGTGGCCGCCGTGGGCGACGACATGAGGGCCCACGCGGTGGAGATTCACCCTGGTGTGGTCAAGATCGTCGTCAGGAATAACAGTCAGAACAAGATCAAGGGCGGTGGTGGTGGTGGTGATGAAAGCAAAATGGAATTACTCCTCGACAAATTGGAGGTCGACACGTGGCGGTTCAGATTGCCCTCTTCTTCCCGCCCCGAGCTTGCTACGGCTGTGTTTGTGGACGGAGAGCTGAGCGTCACGGTGCCCAAGGGTGGGCCCCGCAGGGGGGTTGTCGAGGGGGCTGAAATTTGGGGGTGTGGGATCAGCAAACTTGTTCTTGCACAGTAGGGTTACATCTTTTATTGTTTTGTATGTATGAATGTAAACCTAAACTTTCAAATGCAATAAAATCGATGATTTAAACACGTAAAAAAGGAATAATAAACACTACAGACACCCTTTCGGTTCAGACAAAAAACGTTACTTCCGACAAATAACCAAAATTATACTACAATTCGGATAGGGTGTTATCGATATAATACTATGTAAATAGATAATGTTATTTCAGAAACGTAAATCTTATTCAGATCGACGCCTGAAGGAGAACCCGTTAAGCGGGGCAAATTTGGCAAGATTATCCGAACCCCGTTTGGATATTCCCTTCTGCTTCATCTGCCTTTGCGACACTCTGTTGCTAGCTGTGGGTGCTGCCACGTCAGCAATCTTGGCAACAGAATCGAACACCTGGTTTTGAGTCGATGCAAGTTCGGTTATCCTTTTCTGGTTCTTCGCAACAGCTTTAGCAAGTTTGGCTCTACGGGATTGCAGTTTGGAGATTTCTTGATCGATTTCTTGAATTGCTGACGAGGCTGACGCGTCTTCGGCCTGCAGAAGGGCGATTTTGTCCTTACACAACATGTACTGAATTTTCATGGAAATGATATTGTCCGAACTGCCGCCCTCGTTTTCTGGTAAGTCTTTGCTTGCTGGTGGAATCTCTTGAATGAGATTCAGCATGGAATGTTCTTCTTTGGTTAGATGTGGATCGGATTGAAGCTTATACGACAAGTTTTGAACTTCTAGAAGCTTGTTCGAGGCGATTAAACTCGGGATTCCGATCGATAGAAGTGAGGTTAGTTCGTCTCGAACTTTCTTGAATTCGTCTATCTGGACATGCGAGTTTATTGCTTCGGGAGCCGAGTTCGTCAAAGTGCCGTCGAGTGAGTTGAGGTAGATTTCGAATTCCTCCGAGGACATTTCCGCCAGGTGGTCCGCTAGGGATTTGGAGTCGTGGGGCCTACAAGCGAGGGCAGATTGGTCATTTTGTAGTGGTTCGGCCGCCGGTGGCGAATTCACATCGGCTGAGGTTGTTGTGTTGTGAGCTGAGAGAGAGATGAATTTTCTAGCGGAGCTTCTTGTTCTCGTCGAAATTTGACTTTCCGATTTCGGTTGCTTCTTTGTTATTGTTATAGCTCTCGAGGAAGAAGGTCGCTTTCGCTTTTTCTCTGCAATTTTTTTAGCTTCAATCTTTTTACCTGCAATCGAGAAATGTATCTAAAAGAGTTTCCAAGTAAACCAGAAAACAAAAATAAATGTAGCTTAATAAACGGGGTGTTTTAAACGTCGTTTTAGTTTTACCAGTACCGTACTTATTTCAAATGTAATTTTGACCATTTTTCAGTTTGAATTCCCAACCCACAATAAGTTTACTTCAAACATGATTTTGACCATTTTACTGTCCGAATACGGCAAATTTCAAAGCATGAAAGTCGTAGCCCTTCGAGTTGGCTTTCTAACGCGACTTGAATCAGCTAAATTGGTGGTTGGATGAAAAAGTTATGCAGAATCTTGAAATTTAAGTAAAATCGAAAAAACATTTAGCATTTCAGTTCACAAATGCATAAAACTGACCTTTCTCCACGGACATCTTCTCAGCTGGAATATTCCAAGTAAACATTGCGAAAAACGCATCAACATCTGCTTCAGGAAACTCCGATTGAAGATAACGAGTTATTGCCAGTTTGCTGCCAAGCCATTCTTTTCGAGTCGGACTTTTCTGAAGCCTCGGTGGAAGAAGCAAGTATCTATGTCTATAATATCCGAAAGGGTTGACTTTATTTCCCACTTTCCACGTCCAAACATCGCCTCGATTCGGCCAGTCAACAGGGGCATAAGGGAGTCCTTGACCAGACGCACAAAGGGGAACCGGCATCGAATCGAGGGTATAATCGGAAACTTCAATCTCCATAACTCCAAACTCCAAATACTTCCACCACGTTCTAGAAGGTTCGCTCAACTACACAGAAGTTGTATACATTGTAAACTGAAATTGGAAAATGCCCAATTTATAAAGACTCGAGCTTTATTAGGTAAACTCGAATTAGTAAAAGACTAACTCGATTCAAACCTCAAAGTTAATGCCTGCTGAAATATTGTTAAGATTATATATATGATCGGCAAAAAAACAAGAATCTTTAAAATAGATTACCTCATTCGACTACGATTTCGGACACAACAAGCATATGCATATAGATAAGTACCGATTTATTCGTACCCGGATGGTTAAATTTCATAAATCAATTGCAAAAATTAAAAGGGTAGCTAATTTCAAGATCTATTACCAGTTAAATAACAAGATCTCATCTGATTATCTGCATGCAAAGACTGAATTTTGACCCCATTTTCTTGCTCAATTTTTACAGACATTTTTCAAGGTTTCTTGATCATGGGCTTTCTTCCTTAATTTTTCTTACATCTGGGTTTTCTCTAAGTACCAAAAATTACAGTGAATTCTTACAGAAAAAAGCAGTATAAAAAAAGTTGAATTAATTTGTAGATCATGTAATTAACTGATATGAATTATGAAAAATGTATGCTACAGTTGAATTAAACTGAAAGAGAAAAAGGGGAGGAAAATTTTACCAGAGAATTAGGGTTTCGACAAAATCGATGATCCCTCAGCAGTTAGCCCCCTCGTGAGCTAATTAAGACAGCAGTAAAGAGGATAGCACTTCCATTTTTATTCTGCAAATTGGAAAAAGGTAACGTATTATTTCAGAGATATCCGACAAATGAAATTACAATTTTGCCCCTTGTGATTTTTTTTTTTTTTTTTGTTATTTTTTTTTTCTTGGACAGAAATAATACAAGATTCATTACATGGTCTTTTTTACCAATTATCTAATAAATTTATGTTATCGTATTTGAGAGAATTTTCATCATGCTAGCTCGAGAGATACTCGGACTCGAGAGTTGATTGGAAACGTGAAAGATTGTTCGTTCCAGTAATTTTAATTTTATCTGACGTTAGGTAAAATGTCGAAGTTCGTATGATTATTACCTTTCAAGGCTTGAGTAATTTTTTTAATAAGTATATGTAGAATAGATTTCATGTATACCACTTGTGTTTTTATAGTGTATAGAATTAGAATTAGAAATTGGAATTAAAATATGGAATTAGAATAAAATAGTTATATTAGATCTAGACTTTAATTTATGTTGGTGGAGCGTAGTAATAATGTTATTGGGCTTGTAGTGATATTTACCATGTGACCTTAAAAGTAGGACTAACAATTGAGTCCCGCCTACTTAAAACCCGATTGTTTGACCCAATTTAATTTGAGTCGAGTTTAACTAACTCTTAGTAGGGTTGAGTTTGAGCCATATCGAATCCGAAAAATGTATGACCCGAGTTTGAGTACTATGGCTCAATTTAAATAAGGCCCGATCGAATTAGAAATTGAAATATTTATTAAATTTGATTTACTTTTTCGAATATTTGATTTCACAAAAAAGGTCAAACTTAACTTAATTTCAATCCCATTTTACTTTTTAGAGATTGACTTTGACTGAGATTTTAGTATTAGCAAGTATGAAATGAACATGTTACCCAATTTACCAGATTCTTCACATTTTCTCAGACAATTTTCAGGAACAAATATATCCCAAAATAAAATAGGAATAGTTAATATTTGATTCTATAACTATATTAATTCGGTAATGGATTTAATGCATAAACATGGAATATTTAACCAGTCAAATTAAATTTTGAAAAATAATTTCACTATAAAAAGAGCATGGGCTTGTACGATATTTCGACACAACACAAATTTTTCGATATACCATCGCAGTAAAAGAAAAAGAAAAAGTAAAAATGTCTCGCGTGTGCTCTCTTTTAGTCGTATTTTCTCTCCTGATAATTACTCTAACTGCACCTCTTATTCAAGGTTTGGAAGATGACTCCAGCCTGAACCACCACCACCACCACGCTCCTCCTCCTCACCACCACCACCATGCTCCTCCTCCTCACCACCACCACCACCATGCTCCTCCTCCTCATCACCACCACCACCACCATGCTCCTCCTCCTCACCACGCTCATCCACCGAAACATGATGCGCATGCGCCCCACCACCACGGTCGACATGCTCCTCCTCCACACCACCACCACCACGGCTTCTAGAAAATTATTAGGTGAAGTGCTGGAGAAAAATTTAATGTATTTCATGATTAGATGTTTGTCAAACATATATAAATTTATATATTTATGTACTTTTAATTTATGAAATAATAATACAAGCATTTGTTGATGAGTTATTTATAAAAATTAAAATGCACTGTGTTCCTAATAGATCATTGCAATTGTTGTTCTTTTACATACCAGAACATCCAAATCAAGCTTATAACTCGGCCCCGGTTACGTTTGTCATTCTTTAATTTTGAATTTGTAGTAATAATACGAATTGAAAAGAAAAAAAGAAAAAAAAAAAAAAAAAAAGATTACAGTGGTCTCATGTATTTATGACTTATATTTTATATTCACATACGAAAATATTTTAAAAAAATCATATTATATGCCAAAAAGTGAATTAAGTATACATGCAATAGACTAATCATCTCAAGAAGTTAAGAATTCTTACTTGAATAATATTTAATTGATTTGTCTAAACAAAACTAAGTTATATCTATTACTATTTTTTTTTACATTGTTCCTATTATCGATGTTCTGGTTTTAAATTAAATTAAATTACTCGTGGACCACCAATTTATGAATATTTTCATGTGTTGTTTGAGATATTTGGTGCTCAATTTAAGAGTTTCTCCCATAATTCAGTATTTAATTCTTCGACGAAAATTGAGTTTTAAACCATAATGTATTTCAAAATGTTATTAGTTTGATAGTAATATTAATTTCAAAATAAGTTAAGTGTGACCTTAAAATTGTACGAGTAAATTACAATAATCACTCATGAGATGTAGTCTAACTACAATTTACCTACTCAAACTAATGGTCAATTTAAATAATACCTAAATACAAAGAAAGAGAGGAAATTAAAAATAATTTCTTAAACAAGGATTTAATTATTAAAATCTCATTTTTATTTGTGAAATTATATTAATCATCTTCTTAGAATATATTTAAATTACGAAAGCTATAATCATTTTTTTATTATTAGTGAACATATAAATATAATTTAGTTTTACTAATATTTGACTTCACACCAAAGTCAAACTTAATTTATTTTCTATCTCGTTTTAGAGATTGACTTTGAATAAGGTTTTAATATTAGCAGGCAGGTATGACGTTACCCAATTTACCAGATTCTTCACATTTTGCCGATAATTTTCAGAAACAAATATATTTCATAGTAATTCATATATGGTTCAAAATCATATTGTTTTTGACTTTATAGTTATAGTAATTTGATAATCGATTTAATGCATAATCATGTAGCATTTGACCAGTCAAATCGTAATTTTGAAAATTAATTCCACTATAAAAAGAGCATGTGCTTGTACAATTTTTCTACACCAACACAATTTTTCTCTATACCAATCGAAAAAAAAGAAATAAAAAAAATGTCTCGTGTGTCCTCACTTTTAGTCGTATTTTCTCTCCTGATTATTACTCTTACTGCACCTCTTATTCAAGGTTTGGAAGATGACTCCAGCCTGAACCACCACCACCACCATGCTCCCCCTCCTCACCACCACCACCACCATGCTCCTCCTCCTCACCACCACCACCACCACCATGCTCCCCCTCCTCACCACCACCACCATCATGCTCCTCCTCCTCACCACCACCACCACCATGCTCCTCCTCCGCACCACCACCACCATGGCTTCTAAATAAACTAAATTGAAGTGATGGAGAACAAGGCTGTTTTCATGTATTTCATGATTATTAAATATTTCTCACATATATAAATATATATATGTACTTTTTATTATGAAATAATAATACAAGCATTTGTTGATGAGTCATTCTTATATTATAAATGCATTGCTTTGCTCCTACTATCATATCAATGTTACTGCTCTTTAACAAATTTATACTCGATATTCGATTCAAGATCGATGGTCGTAAATTCCCTCGATCTCCATTCATTAACATATCGAATCAAGCCGAACACATATTTTTGTTAAATAAGATAAAAAAAATTGACTCGGGTTCAAACTTGATTAGAAAAAATATACAAAAAAAAAATAAAAAAAAAATCAAAAAAAAAAAACAAAAAAAAAAAAATCATGTGTATAAACGACGTCGTATAACAGGCGAAATAGAAGAAGAGTGAACCGAGCTACATTTTTCAGTACAAAATTGAAAATATCTTCGGTTCCAATTCAGAGAAGATAATGGCAGCCAGCCTCAATCATGTTTCTAGAGAATCCCCTGATATCAAACGCCTCGCCAATTTCTACATTGAGGTTCTTCCCCTATTTTTTTCTGATGTTTAATTGCTTTCATTTTCTTCTTTTTTCCGTGTTAAATTTATGAGATTGAAATTGAAATCGAAAAAAAATAAATTAAGATAGGGTTTTTGTGGGTCTCCGTGAATTTCCGATGTCGATTACTCTGGGTTTCAGTTTCTAGGGTTGAAATTAAATTCGTAAGAAAAATTGCAGGATGCATGTTTGAATTTTATGATTATAAAATTAAAAAAATAAAATAAAAGGGGCAATTGATTTTGTGGGTTTTTTTTTTTTTTTTTTTTTTTTTTTTAATTTGTTTATTTATAAGATATTTGGATTTGAGCAAGTGGAGAGTCCAAGATTCGATTTTGGGGTGATATGGTTGAAATTAGGTTCATCTCTGTTCCTGCACCTCATAGAAAGGGATCCAAATTCGAAGCTTCCAGAAGGACCATCGAGTGCCACGTCAGCAGTTTCAGACCCGAAGAATCTCCCCCGAGGGCACCATGTCTGTTTTTCCGTGCCCGATTTCGACTCCTTTGTGCAGAGCCTCAAGGTAACAACTGTTTATCACTAGTAGTTGAGAATTGCCTGCTTTAGGTAGTAATATAGGATTGCGACGAAGTTAATCGGAGATTATTGCTGTATCATATGTATCGAACTCGGTTGGATTTTCCGAAACTATGTCGTGGTTTTATCGTAAGAGTTGTACTTTGGAGTACAATGCTTTTAATGCAAAGGAATTCAAGATTCGAGAAATAATCGGAGTTGGTTTAGTTTATCGCAGGGCTAAAAATTTCTAATGCTATTCGTGTAATTAGTTTAATGGTAGTGTTACTTATACGATTTATAGGTTTCGTATAGAATTTTACGATTCGGTGTTCACTTTGATATTAGTAGTCGGGTTTCGTTCGTGAGCTATTCGTCTTTCTTGAGCCTTTCTGTATAATAAGCTTAGTTGATTATGAGCCTAATTAATAGACTTAAATTCTCCGTTTCTTATGAAAGATTTGCTTCGTATTTACCTGATCAGGATAAAGGAATCGAGATACACGAGAGGACGCAACCAGATGGGAAAACGAAGCAAGCCTTCTTCTTCGACCCAGATGGTGAGTCAAGTCAATCCACGCATCGGCAAAATTCATTCTTGAATCTCTTTCTTTTTTCGGGATAAATTTAATTTATTGTTTTTGTCTCACTATTTCGAGAAAAAAAATTCCTGCAAAATCGAACATTGTTTTCGTGAATCTTTGTTTCTAAAATGCAGGAAGGATTGGAGGTATCAAGCCAGCTTCCATTCTTCTAAACCGCAACACTTTTATGTTGCAATAAATAAATAGTACTAGTAAATAATATGTTAAATAATATAGTTGTGATTATTAAGCAGTATTTCGAATTATGTCGTTTGGTTTGTAGGATGGGATTATGTGAATTTGTTGAATAATCTCAAGATTGTATTTGTTCTATTAAAAAATAGTCGGAAAAATACAGTTTTCATCCCTAAGTTTGCACTGATTTACATTTTGACCCCCCATGTTTACAAAAAAATATTTCGGTCCTTCATGTTTTAAAAATTCAACACTTTTAGTTGTTTCCGTCAATTTTTCGTTAGTACTAATGGAATCAAGCGTGTTCCCATGATTTCCCTTCACTTACGACTAACGGTTAATTGACGGAAATAATTAAAAGTGTTAAATTATTGAAACACGAGGGACTAAATGTGCTTTGGTGAACATGGGAGACCAAATATAAAATCGGTGGAAATTTAACCGGTGAAAATGTGAAATGTCCAAAAAGTAGTCATGAATGAATGATTTTTAATCCAATTCTACTACTAATCAGATTAGCCTTTGGAGAAACAAAATAATTATTTATTTTTTAATTTTTCCAAAAAAATGACACGAATGCTCCCAAGGTGCCACGTGTCAAAACAAAGACACGCTGTCCTTGTATGGAACTGCCACCTCTTTTCATCGTACGCAGAAGCTGTAATATACTTCTAATTTATGGAGTTGTTTGAGAATCCAGCTGCAATAATTCACAGCGAATTCGAACCCAAATCAAATTAATCTATCATGAGTCAAGAACAACCGAAAAGGCCGCAGGATCAGGGCGGCGAACTGCAGGAACCCATCAAATACGGCGACGTTTTCCAGGTTTCCGGCGAGCTGGCGGCGAAGCCGATTGCGCCGGAAGATGCCGCCATGATGCAGGCCGGCGAAACCCAGGTGTTCGGCCAGACCCAGAAGGGCGGACCCGCCGCCACCATGCAGGCCGCCGCCACTTTAAATGAGAGGGCCGGTCTCGTTGGCCACCGTGATGTAAGCGACGTGGTCGCCGGAAAGGAAGGTGTCGCCGTCGCTGAAACTGCTCTTCCGGGGGCTCGTATTATCACCGAATCAGTCGGGGGGCAGGTAATTATTAATCTTTTCGGGTTTCGGGATTCGGGTTTCGAAAATAATAATAATAAAAGTGGAAATTTAATCTTGGAGTTTCCGACAGGTTCTGGGGCAGTACATACAGCCGACGCCGGTGATGAACACGGCGGCGGCGGGAGGAGTGGTGATGCAGAGCGCAATAACCATCGGAGAAGCACTGGAAGCCACAGCCCGAACCGCCGGTAATAAGCCCGTCGACCACAGCGACGCCGCCGCAATACAGGCGGCGGAGTGCAGAGCGACTGGTTCCAGCCTCATAGTTCCCGGCGGGCTTGCTGCGACGGCTCAGTCAGCCGCCGCCTTCAACGATGGTTTGGTCGGAGACGAAGGCAAAGTCAAGCTCGCCGACGTCTTAACAGTAATTACCGGCCCGTTAATCCAACTTCAGAAACGCCGATCGTTGATTTAATTTCTTGTTAATTGTTATTAATTAATTTGTTTAGGGGGCTATTGCGAAGTTGCCGGCGGACAAGGCTGCAACGAGGGATGATGCTGAAGGGGTTATAGCGGCGGAGCTGAGAAACGATCCAAATCTGCACACACATCCCGGCGGGGTGGCGGCGTCGGTGGCGGCTGCCGTCAGGTTGAACGAGGGTGGGTCGCCGCCGGGTGCTTGATGAGGGTTGACGAAGGGGTATTTCTGTAAATATAGTACGAAGCGAATGTGAAATAAGTAATATAATAGTGCTGGTAGTAATGGTATTATTACGATAGTATCCCTGTATATTTGCTTTAGCAGTACAACTCTTTTTAAATTTTAATAAATGTCCGAATATATTTTAGTTCAAAGGATGAGTCATTAATCATTATTTGCATATGAAAGCTTAAATTCCTCATTTTGGTTGCTTAATTTGTACCAAATATTTTTAATTTATCAATGTACTTTGAAGAATTATTCGAGTAAATAAAATGATCCAAGAATTTATGGTTCGAATGACCTGAAGACAGTCCCCTTCAATAATAACGTAAAACCGACCAACAATATAACATTGCGATAATGCCTTTTTGAATAGCTTTGAGCGCTGCATGGGCCTTGCCTTCAAACCGCTCGAACGATTCCCGGAATCTTCTCAACACTCTGATCCACCACATATGCAGCCCTGTGAATCCTCTATCGCCACCGTAGAAACAATAAGGAAACGACAGTCGGGTGGTAAAGCCGCATCAAAATTCACTTTCACAACTCTTGGAAGGTGTGATAGTTATGGTTTCAAACACTCTAATTAACCATGTGACTTACCGGCAGTGTTCTAAAAATCGGTCGAGGTGGCCGATTAATCGGTCTCCGAGGCAGAGGCGGTCCCAAACTTTTACGGTTTTAGTGTAAAGGTTTGAAAAACTGGGTTTTTGCTTGTAAGGCGGTTTTTAAGCGATCCGAGGCGGTCAAACCTTGAAAATGGGTCAAACTTCGGTGTAAAAATCGGTCAAAATTCGATTTTTTTGTTTTTTTATTTTTAATTCACAATAAAAGTTGGGATTTTAATAAAAAAAATTATAGTTCATGCTTTATTTTGTTTATGTTAACTGTTATTGTTAAAGAACCTAATGATATATGCAGCATGCCATTAATGTTCAAAAATAAATTTAAATTCAAAAAATTTACATTTTTATTTATATTTTATAAGGATATTTATGTATTATGATCTTATTATTATTAAACTGTTATTATGTTATTAGGATATATACATGATGAACATATGTAAATAGGTTTAAATATCTTTTTATATATGTTTTAAGTATTTAAAATAATAATATCTAGAAATATATGATATTAAATTTTAAAAACCGATTTATCACCGATTAATTACCGCCACACCGATTAATCGTGAGTCGATGCCTAACCGCCTCCGACCCGATTACTCTTTTTTACAACCTTGCTTGCCGGCAATTATTAACTGCAATTGCACGTGATATAAACACTAGATTGGTAGCTAAATAGGGCGTACGTACTTCTGTATATATTGATTAATTTTAGGTATTTTTTGATATATTCTTCTCAATATTTTCCTATTTGTGGCTTTCTAATTGTGCTTCTACTATTTATACATTTCATCAAGATTGATTGATTGATTGTTCTATCATGTGCTGATCGAATATTTTTAATTTATTACAATATACTCCCTCTATTTCATAATAATTGTCTTTTTATAACAAATATTTGTGTTTTATACTATATTATTTGTTACTTTCTTAATTCAATTCTAAGTATTAATTAGCATATAATGCTTATTTAATCTGATATTACACCCGATAAAATAATTTAGTTAACTTGCCAAAAGCTATTTTTAATTA